AAGCAGCCTTCTTTAGTTAGGACATACTAGGCAGATGGATACAAATGTTACTGATTGGTTAAATTAATTAAATAATGTTAAATCTTGCCAAAGTGAATCTAAATTCCTCATTGAGAATTAAATGTATCTATTCTGTCTAAGTGCTAGATGTTCTTGATATATTCTGAGTGAGGCAGTCATTTACTTCCTTATATAGGCAATAATTCTTGGGGAATCTTAATAAGTTGTCAAAAGAAATTCAAAGAAAATAGTCTGATGACTCGATTTGTAAGTTCCTCATGGTATCTCCTTACTTCCAAGATTAAATAATACTCTTAGTTTCATTTCACTATACAGTAGAGACAATGACAACAAATTTGTGCTTTTTGTGTGGTTGTTGATATTTTTGTGCATGTTTTAAGTGGCCATCTAAGAGATAATGTTTTTTTTTTTTTTTTAATGACCATTTCTCCATCCACCCCCCATCAGGGATATCAGGGTTTTAATCATGAGCATTTTTCAGTTTATAATAATTCTCATTTCGATAATTTCGTTTTTAAAAACCCTGAGGCCTTTTGAAAAGGAGGCAGTGGTGAAAGTCTATAAACCTTCTATATAATTGGTGTGGGGTTTGTCTTTTTCTCAAACAAAAAGCACAGAATAAAGATGCTGTGAGTTGTATCGATGTAATATTCACTTCTTTTTCCGCCTGCTTAAAGGGAGCAGTACAGTGATCATAGGCCCAAACTGATAATCTTCGTAACTGAGGTCTGGGTGTTTTTCAGGCAAGCCTGCATTACACAAGGATTTTAATATAAATAAGCCTTATAAAAGAAAAAAGAAATCTAAAGAAATATAATAATATTGTAAAATGCTTTCATAATTTTAGAGAAAGGTAGTTTATAATTATCTTGATTAAAAGGACTATTATTAGTCACTCTTTTTTTTTTTTACCTTTTTTTAAACCCAAATAGACAATCACTCATCAGAAACAGGCCTACATTTTTCAGAAAGTTAGATTTCTTTAAAAAACTATTATCTCATTTATGCTTCCACTTAATATGGAAAAACAGAGACTGGATTTATGCTCCTAGCTTAAACGTTAAAAATCTGGAGAAAAAATACAGTATAACAGCTTTTATGACACTGGCCACTAGGCAATAGAAAATAGTGATTCCTGAGGGATAGGAAACAAGTAAGATGAAACATATGATTTCCCTGGTATATTGCTTTGGGAACACCCAGGCTATGGTGTGAGGAGGAGCAAACCAGAGGCATCCAACAAACTCCTGGAGTGGAAGAGATGAAGGTGAGAGTCTGGGGAGATCAGAGAAGCAAGAGGTCACAGGCAGAGTACTAGCAAGGAGGAAGTTGCATAGAGACCACCAGAAATCTAGCAAGGGGCCTCCTATGTGTTTTGCAAAGCACTGATTATCGTCTATATGTGAGAAGATTACCTGAGCCCAAAAGGGAAAAACACCTGGAAGGACTAGAGGAAAAAGTTCCTGGCACTCACACAGGACCTGAAAAAAAAAAAAACCAAAAAACAAAAAACAAAAAAAAACAACAGTTGCCATCAGAAAGACTGGAGAACCTCATAAAATCATAGGTACTGGGTACAGTACTCAAGAGTGTTCTTGCCTCAGTAGTGGGGAATAACTAGCCCTACATGAAATACTGCTCAGGACTTGCCCAGAAATCTTGAAAAGCAAGACTTGAAAAAAAAATATTTTCAAGTAACTTGACTATATATGTAGATAGAACTCAAGAATATTTATAAGAATATAAAAAAAAAATAGGGGCACCTCCGTGACTCATCCTTTTGCTTAGGTCATGATCTCAGGGTCCTGGGAATGAGCCCATGTCTGGCTCCCTGCTCCATGGGGAGTCTGCTTCTCCTTCCCCCTCTATCCCTCCCTACCACTCATGCTCTCTTTCTCAAATAAAATAAAATCTTAAAAAAAGAATATAAAAAAAAATCCAGCATCAACAAAGTCAAATTTATGATACCTAACATGCAACCAAAAATTAGTAGCATGCTGTAAAGCTGAAAAATATGACCCATAATGATGAGAAAGACCAATCAAAACTGAAATAGACTAATAGGGTATAGAATTAGCAGACAAGAGTATTAAAACAGTTATTTTAACTATATTCCATGTGTCAAAAGGTAATTTGATATCTGAAAAAGAAAAAATTGGTAAATTGAACTTCTAGAAATGAAATTCACAATGCCTGAGATGAAACATGCACTGGATGACATTAACAAATGATTAGATATTACAAAAGAAGATATTAGTGAATTTGAAGACATTACAATAGAAGTTATCCAAAATAAACAGAAAAAAAACATATATATATTTTAAAGATTTTGTTTATTTATTCATGAGAGACACAGGGTGGGGCGGGGGGGAACAGAGACACAGTCAGAGGGAGAAGCAGGCTCCATGCAGGGAGCCTGGTGTGAGACTCAATCCCGGGACTCCAGAATCACACACTGGGCTAAAGGCAGCGCTAAACTGCTGAAACACCCAGGCTGCCCCCCCCAAAAAAAATATTTTAAATGAATAAATTGTTCAACCATGGAAATACTTCCAATATCCTGATATACATATATTTGGAATCTCTGAGAAAGAAGTGTGGATAGAAAAAATATTCAAAGAAGTAATAGCTGAAATTCTTCCAAATTTGATCATGCAAAATACTAAACAAACCCCAAATATAAGAAACATGAAGAAAACAACATCAAGAGAAATCATAGCTAAAGTTTGCAAAACTAGCAAAAATATTAAAACTTAAAGAAGCCAGAAGAAAAAAGATCTATTACACATGAAAGAACTAAGATAAGCATGGCAGCAGTGTTCTCATAGGAAATAATGCAAAGGAGGAGACAATGAAGCAATAGGACTAAAGGATGGAAAGGAAAGAAAACAAAAAAAGATCAACCTAGAATTCTATACCCAGTGAAAATATTGGTCAGAGAGGAAGGCAAAATAAAAACTTTTTCAACTAAAGCTGAAAGAATTCATCTTCGGTGGACCTACGGTACAGAAAATGTTTAAGAAACTCTTGTAGACAGAAGGAAAATGATAGCAGATGTAAATCTGGATCTACCCAAAGGAATGATGATCACCTGAAAAGGTAATGTCATGACCCTTCCCCTGGATGAGAAGGGTGTATCTTGCCCCAACATGAGTTAGCACGCGAGGGTGCTCCTGATTGAGCTTCAGGTTTCCCAACAAATAATAGGTGACAAGACATGAGAAAGAACATGATGACACGGAACTGGTCTCTGCCAAACAGACCTTTCCTGACAACCCGGACCACTCACCTAGAGACTGTTACTAAGAGACTAATAAAATTATACTTTTTAGGGTTTCTGCATTTTAGAGTACTACTGATACTATACATTGGCCTTTATCCTAATTAAAACTATTGTTTCGGGCATCCCTAGGTAGCTCAGAGGTTTAGTGCCTGCCTTCAGCCCAGGACATGATCCTGGAGTCCCAGGATCGAGTCCCCCACATTGGGTTCCCTGCATGGAGACTGCTTCTCCCTCTGCCTGTATCTCTGTCTCTCTCTCTGTGTGTGTCTCTCATGAATAAATAAATAAAATCTTTTTTAAAAAACAGTTATTTTTAAAGCTGTAAAGTTGTGCCTTCTACATTAAGATCTTTAATCTACTTGGATTTTTTTTTTCAACATGAATACATGGTTGATCCAGAGCAACTAATGGAAATGCCATTTTTTTCTCATTAATCAGAAGTGCCAACTCTATCATATATCAATCACCTATGTATGCATGGAAGTCTTGCTGTGCTATCTCTTCTGTTAGTCTCTCTGTCTACACACAGTATTATGATATCTGTGCACTTATTAGATATGTTTATACTAATAGGAAAAATACACTTTTTTTTCAAATGTACCTTGATTCTTCCCTAGCATGTTGGATTTTCAAATAAATGTTAGAATCATTTTTTTTAAAGTACATGAAGAGGTTACTAAGAGTTGCAGCTAGATCACCTTGGTTTCAGCCTGTATTATTAATAGTTGATAAGTACTGAACTCTCCAGTCCTATGACAAAGGTTAGTCACAGAATGACTTTTTGTCTTTACAACTACAAGGGCAAAAGCAGATGTGGTAGTGAAGGGATGACACTTATGTAGGAGGCATTTAGGGGTCAGATCTCTTCCCTCTCTCCCACATTCACCTAGAACATCACTTCTTACTTGGTCAACATTAGCTTCGGTTATTTTGGTGCAGACCATGTAGAAGCAACTTCATTGCCATAAACACATTTAAGTGTATGTCAACTGCATATTGAGAATTGCTTCAAGGTATGGGCCAGACTAATATTTATAAGATTCATGGAGTGTAAAATATACATAACTTAATTTATTTTTTAGGATTTTCAATAAACGCTTCTTGACTGACTCAAGGGTTAAATTCTCTATAACTCCATTTTAATATAATGTTCAAGAAGAATTTTGACAGTTTATCAACATTTATCACTTACTGTGAATGGCCTGCTTTGCTCTAGGTACAGTACTAAGTACTGAATATTCAGCAGCAAGGAAATAGATATGGATCCTTCTCTCATAGGACAATCCAACATTTAAACAAAATAAATAGAAATATAAGTATTTAATTTATAATTGTGCTTAATTCCATGAAGGGAATAATATGGCTATATGTAAAAATAACTAGAGGGAGAATAATACATTTTTTATGTATTAGGATATATTATGTACAAATGAAAAGCAATTTGACCTAGAATGGGATTTACTCAGCAAATTAAACATTATTTTTCCTTTTAGTTAATTTATTCATTTATTCCACAGTATTCATGTTCATTGCCACTTTAATGGTCCAGATATCAGGCTCACAAAAATGACCAAGACACAGTTCTTGTCTTTGAGGAGATCCAAGTTCAGTGGCTTACATAATTACCTTTCACTAAAATAATTGCATACCAAAAGAAAGCATAAGTATATCCCTTCCATTTTTCTTTCTTTTTTAGATGAGGATAGGCATTCACTCGGGTTCTGTGCTCGCTGGAGTTGTTGGGGTGAGAATGCCACGATATTGCCTGTTTGGAAATAATGTCACTCTGGCAAGCAAATTCGAATCAGGAAGTCACCCTCGGCGCATCAATGTCAGCCCAACCACTTACCAGTAAGTGTTCTCTGGCTTCCTCCTCCTCCTGTCTATGGCCTTGCCTTGACCTAATGTCCTGTCATGTGTGAGACACTGTATTTTTTTTTGATCCTGTCATTCTCTAAGGTAATAGGAGTAGATCCACCCAGTCTGAAAGATAGCAATTGTGACATAAACGTTTATTTGCACCCCAAGAGAGTACATGTAGAGCCTGACTTGACTGAGAGGTAAACATAGGTTTGTCATTTCCCATAGTTGCTGTCCTTTGAGATACACCTGTTTAAATACAGGAGAACAAATGTTGAAGATCTGCCTTACACAAAAAGTCCACACATTTTCAAAATGTTCCTCAATATTTATAAAAGTCAAAAGAATGAGATAGAAAAGATATTTTGACTGCTTTTACTCTTTGGAATAACTAAGGTAAATAATGACCTCTAAAGTTAAATATATACTGGGTACAGAGTAAAACTTCAAACTCTATCTTACAGGTCATAAATTGGCAAGTCTACACATATAGCTGACAGATGAACACATCTGTATTTTGTACCTGGTAGATGTCCTCTCACCCACTAGTTACTACACTTCCTAGGGGGAGGGACCATGCCTGCTTTAGCTTATCATTATATTCTCAAAACTTGTAGAACATGCTTAACACATAATAAACACTCTATAATATTTGTTGAATTAATGAATAAATGCATTGGTAGGTAGACTTCTCTAGAATAAGAAAACAGTATGACTATCTCCTATATATTAGACTTCAGTTTTGTGCTGTGCATTGATGTGCAAGCTAATTGGCGCCATGATTTGGATAACTAAGAAATCATATTGTAAGACTGTAGACTGGAAATAGTGACCATTGATATTTTTCTTTTATTATTAATTTTTTATTGAAGTAAAGCATACAATCTTATATTAATTTCAAGTGTATGACATATTAGTTTGACAATCCTATACATTACTACATTACTCAGTATTCACATAATAAGTATAATTAATTTAAGTCACCATAAAATGTTTTTATAATATTTTTGGCTACATTCCCTGTTGTATTTTTTCATCTCTGTGACTTATTTATTTTATATTGGAATTCTGTACTACTTTATCCTCTTTATCTACTTTACCAATCCTCCAACCCACACCCCTGATGGCAACCACCAGTTTGGTCTGTGTACTTAAGCATCAAGGGGTTTTTTGTTTGTTTGGTTGGTTTTTTTTTTTTTGGTCTCTTTTCTAATTTGTTTTGGTTTTTAGATTCCACATATAAATGAAATCCTATGGTATTTGTTGTTCTCTGACTTATTTCATTTACTGACAAATACTGTAGTGTGGTGCCCAACGGGAATGTCTCTCAATCAGATGGGGGCCTCTAAATAGGGCGATGATTGGCTGGAAGCCAGTAGCAGGGGAGGTGAAAGAATTCACCCGAGGCAGAACAAAGGAAGTAGAAATTTATTGAATACACTGCAAGGGAGTGGTGGGCAGAACAGCAGAGGGGAGGCTGTCTACTAGGAAGCAGTCGGTGAGGGCCACTTTTAAAGAGGGAAGGTAAGGAGGTATGGTAGCATATGTAATTCTCTCTTTTTTGGTAACTGTGCCTGGTTGTAAGTAGCCTATTAGTTAGCTAGAGCCTATGGATGTTTTGAGGTAGACTGCCTGAAAGGCCTGTGTGTAGTCAGCCAGTGGTCACTATGGTCCTTTCTGTTCCATTCCATTTCTCAAGCCTGTTTACCTAAAAGCAGCCTCTATATTTAGGTCAGTTAATGTTGTCACAAATGGCAAGAGCACATTATTTTCTATGGCTGAATAATATTCCATTGCACATGCATACACACACACACACACACACACAAACACACACATCCTACACATTTATCCATTTAATCTATTGACAGAGACTTAGGTTGCTTCCATATCTTGGCAATTGCAAATAATGCTTCCAAAAACATAGGGGTGCATATATGTTTTTGAATTAGTCTTTTCTTTTTCCTTGGGTCAACACCCAGTAGTAGAATTAGAGGGTCATATGGTATTTCTGTTTTTAATATTTTGAGGAAATTCCATGCTGTCTTCCACAGTGGCTGTATCAGTTTACATTCCTACCAACAGTGACAAGGGTTCCTGTTTCTTCACATCCTCGCCATCCTTATTATTTCTCATCCTTTTAATACTAGCCATCCTGACTAGTGTGAGGTGATGTCTCATCATGTTTGGATTTTGTGTTTTGTTTTGGGGGGGCTTTGTTTGTTTCTTTGGCATTTGCTTGATGATTAGTGATATTGAGCATATTTCCATGTCTGTTTCCCAGCTTTATGTCTGTCTGAAAAAATGTCTATTCAGGTCCTCTGCCCATTTTTTAATCAGATTTTTTTTTATGTTGAGTTGTATAACTTCTTTATATATTTTGAATATTAACCCTTTATTAGATCATTTGCAAATATCTTCTCTCATCGGTGGGTTGCCGATGAGATTTCCTTTTGCTGATGATTTCCTTTGCTGTGAAAAAGCTTTTAATTTTGTTTTTTTGTTTGTTTGTTTGTTTTAAAGATTTTATTTATTTATTCATGAGAGACATAGAGAGAGAGGCAGAGACATAGGCAGAAGGAGAACCAGGCTCCTCAAGGGGAGCCCAATGCGGGACTCCATCCCACAACACCAGGATCATGACCTAAGCCAAAGGCAGATGCTCAACCACTGAGCCACCTAGGCATCCCAAAACTTTTAATTTTGGTGTAGTCCCAAGTTTATTTCTGCTTTTGTTTCCCTTGCCTCAGGAGACATATCAGAAAAATGTCGCTAAAGCCAATGTCCAAGAGATTACTGCCTATGTTTCCTTTTAGAAGTTTTGTTTTCAGATCTCTCATTTAGGCTTTTAAGCCGTTTTGAGATTATTTTTGTGTATGGTGTAAGAAAGTGGTTCAGTTTCATTCCTTTGTGTGCAGCTGCCTAGTTTCCTCAAAAACATTTTTTGAAAATTGTCTTTCCCTCATTGTATATTCTTGCCTCCTCTGTCACTGATTAATCAGCCACATATGTGTAGGTTTATTTCTGGATTCTCTAAACCTGTTCCATTGATCTGTGTGTCTTTTTTGGTGCCAGTTTGGTGTTTTGATTACTATAGGTTTATAAGTGTATCTTGAAATCTGAGATTGTGATACCTCCAACTTATTCTTCTTTCTCAAGGTTGGTTTGGCTATTCAAGGCCTTTTATGGTTCTTCACAAATTTTATTTGTTCTAGTTCTATAAAAAATGCTGTGGGTATTTTGAAAGAGATTGCATTGAATATATATATTGTTTTAGGTAATATGGACATTTTAACAATATTAATTCTTTAAATCCATGAGCATGCTATACTTTTACATTTGTTGTTTCATCTTCAATTTCTTTTATTAATGTTTTATAGTTTTGATCATCTAGACATAGATGTGACATAGATATAGTCACATCTATGATTAAATTTATTCCTAGGGGGGAACCTGGGTGGCTCAGTGGTTGAGTATCTGCCTTTGGCTTAAGTCATGATTTCAGGGTCCTGGGATCGAGTCCCACATTGGGCTCCCCACAGGAAGCCTGCTTATCTGCCTATGTCTCTGTCTGTCTGTGTAAAAAAAGAAGTATTTATTTGTTTATTCATTCCTAGGTATTTTATCCTTTGGTGCAACTGTAAATTGATTTCCTTAATTCAGGAAATTAGATGTGACACATACTTTATATGGATTTTGCATCTTGCAACTTTGAATTCATCTATCATTTCTAATAGTTTTTTGGTGGTGTCTTTAGGGTTTTCTGCATATAATAACATGGCATCTACAAAGAGTGACAGCTTCACTTCTTCATTAGCAATTTGGATGTCTTTCATTTCTTTTTCTTGTCTGATTACTATGACTGAGACTTCCAGTACAACCTTGAATAAAAGTGGCAAGAATGGAATCCTTGTTTTGTTCCTGTTCTTAGTGGGAAGGCTCTCAGTTTTTCAACATTGAGTATGATGATTGTCATACATGGCCTTTAATTATGTTGAGATGTGTTCCCGCTAAACCCACTTTGTTGAGAGTTTTTATCATAAAAGGATGTTGAAAATATCAAATGTTATAACTGCATCTCTTCATCTGAAGATGATCTTATGGTTTTTATTCTTTCTCATGTTAATGTTAAATATCATATTGATTGACTTGCACATATTGAACCACCCTTACATCCCTGGAATAAATCCCACATGATCATGGTGAATAATGTTTTTTAATATATTGTTGATTTAGTTGTGCTAATCTTTTGAGTATTTTTGCATCTACATTCATCAAACATATTGGTCTATAGTTAGTTGTTTGTTTTATATTTTTTTAAGATTTTATTTATTTATTGAGTCAGGGGAAGGAGCAGAGGGAGTGGGACAAATAGATTCTGCTGAGTGAGGAGCCTGATGTGGGGCTTGATATCAGGACCCTGAGATCATGATCTGAGCCAAAACCAAGAGTCAGACACTTAACTAACTGAACCACCTAAGTGCCCCCTCGTTTATTTTGTGATGTCTTTGGTCTGGTTTTGGTATCACAGTAATGCTGACCTTGTAAAAATAAGTTAGGAACTTTTCTTTCCTCTTTTATTTATTGGGACAGTTTGAGAAAAGTAGGTATTAACTCTTCTTTAAATGTTTGTAGAATTTACCTGTGAAGCCATGTGGTCCTGAACTTTTGTTTGTTGGGAGTTTGTTGATTATTGATTCAGTTTCATTACTAGTAGTTGCTCTAGTTCAGATACTCTATTTCTTCTTGATTCAGTTTTGGAAGATTGAATGTTTCTGAAATTTATCCATTTGACTAAGTCATTCAGTATCTTAGCATATAATTTTTCATAATGTTCTTATAATCCTTTGAGTTTCTGTAGTGTCAGTTGCTATTTCTTCTCCTTCATTTCTGATTTTATTTGAATCTCCTTTTTTTTTCTCCTTGATAAATCTGGCTAAAATTCTTATCAATTTTGTTTATATTTTTAGAAAACCAACTCTGGGTTTCAT